CTTTCCCAGGGTAGCACCCTCAAGACCTAATTGTCTCCCACCACACTGCAGACCTGGCTTCCAGCACATAAACCTTTGGTGGGCACACTCCACCCGGATCCAAAACCACAGCATTCACATGTGGTATTTTAGTTTGTCTGTGATGGGCGAGGCATTAGGAATTGAGCGTGGTCCTCTGTCTTGAGTGGGAGCCTACAAGCTCATTCAGGTTGGGAGAATCCTGCTAGTGCGAGGTTGCTGGGGCTTTCCCACCCAGGCCTCGCCTCTAGAGTTAAGCCAGTGATGAACCTGACCACTGAAATACCTGCCATGGTGTTTTCTTTTCCTTTTTTGGTCTTGTCCTTCTGAGACAGGGTCTCACTCTGCAGTTCAGGCAGTTCAGGCTGGGCTGGAACTCACGTTGTAGACCAGGCCGGCCTCAAACTTGAAGCTACTCTCTTGCCTCAGCCTCCAGAGTGCTGGGTGTTATGTTCTTTTGATAATCGGTGCTAGGCTAGGTCTCTCTCCTCCTCTTCACTGCGCGTTTGCCTTTTCAAACTTGTGCTGCACTCCACACCTATCCACGCTCGCTTTTATCTACCAAGTCTCCCAAGGTCATTTTGAATCCTATTTGTTAGTCTAATCATTCATTACATCCCATTTCTATTCACCTTTTCCATAGCCCACGCTTCCTTATTTTTTTTTAAAGACTTTCACTAATTGATGGGAAGGTATGGGTTTAAACACAGGAAATGATCCATAACCAACATCCCTTGGCTAAATCATCTGCCAGTTCCACAGCCATCTCTCAGCCTCCAGAGACTGGAGGTCTCCAGGCACCGGCTTAAATTCACGCTTGTTGTGTTTCTTCACCTGCTGGTGGACAGAATATAGCAACCAGCTCAGCAGCCCTCTTCCCCACTTCCTGCCCTTCCAGACTCCTTTCCATTCTTACATTAAGCCCACAGGAGCTACTGATCAGTTGCCCTCTTGTGATTTCTGAACTAAGAATAGATTTGTTATTGCAATAATAATAATCTTGGGCGTTTCTGTTACATATCCCTTAAAAAACAAAACAAACCCGGGGCATCCCAGAAAGTCAAGAAGTCAAGGGCAAGGCCAGGATTTGTACCTGGTGCTTTGACTTACCTTTCAAACCTCAGCAAAGCAGGTCGTGCTCGGAAGGAGCAAGAAGAGGGATTATCTGACAGCTCTGAGGTGGGGAGCAGGAGAGCAAACTGAAACCCCAAGGGGTGGCTTGAGGATAGCTGCAGGGTGTCCCACCCAGTCTTTGTAGTCCCTGCAAATTCTGATGCTAACAGAACGGTTGTGACCTTGGGTTCTGGGGCTGAAGTTTCCTAAGAGAAAACTCCGTAATTTCTGAAACTCTCTACTTTTGATAATTCCAAAAATCTCTGAATCTAAACCAGGCTCTATCCCCCTCACTCCCTTTTCCAACCCAACTAGAAAATGTGGGTGGATTGAGAAAGAACAGAAAAGAAAGATCAAAACTGTGACAACCCTCTGACAACATTTTAACTTGAAAATTGCCTCCAAATGGATGGTATAATTCTGTGTAGGCAGATGTAAATCAGGCGCAGATTTACTGTAATCCTCCTCGTTCTTATTTCTACAGCAACATCCTGAAGGGACGGAGCCCTGGAGCTGACCATCAGCAGCTTTGGGAAAACAGCTTGACCGGGCTCCTCTGCGAAGCCTCCCTGACTGCCCAGGGGAGGTGGTCCTTTCCTTTTCTGATCTCTCAGGCTCACCTTTGACCCTTACCAAACAGCTGACAGGTGATGCCCTCTGCAGACCCAGCCCACCCTCCCGCTCAGCAGGCGCAGGAGGTTCTCAGAGAGTGATTGCGAGGGGGCAGAAAGGCTAGGACTCAGGGCCCAACCACCCCCTCTGCGGCTTTGTTAGGTGCCAGTCTAAATGGCTGATCCTGAGTGTCCTCCACCCCTTAAAAAGACTCAAAGGTACTTGCTTGAACGAGACAGAGAAGTGCGCAGGGCTCCACGCAAAGCCTTTCCATGGGCAGAACCTTGGTTTCGTTGCCTCTGTCGCCTGTCCAGCCTCAGGCTGGCTTCTGTCCTCATCTACTCCCTGACAGTGGAGGCAGAGCAGGCCCAGTCACACTTGGGTCCCTCTAGGAAAAGCTAGAGCAGAGTGAGAGGGTCTGGGGAGGTGCTTCCCACACCTAGGGCCTGTATGCCGGTGTCTGGCCCTGCCTTGGAGGCCATGTGAGCCATCTGACATCTTCCTGCTTCCTCCTCTGGCTCTGTGGCCTGAAGGGCTGTCCTCACAGAGACCTCACAGCTCATGATGAGTGACAGCCACAGGGTGGGTACCTGGGGACACAGGAGGGATTGGTATGAGGTGGAGGAAGAGGCGGTGACCTTACAGCCTTACAGAGCAGATCAGGGCCAAGGTGGGAGCCACTTGCCTCACAGACCCCTAGATCTCCCCAAGTTCTGTCCCCACTAAGGTAACCTCCAATTGGCAATCGGTGGCACTGCTCTTCCAGCTGAGCACTCAGGGCCATCCTGGCAGGGCACGCTGAACCTTAGCAGCAGCAGGAGAATGTACACTATGGCAGGGGAGGAGCAGCGCTCACAGATCCGGGCTGACCTCTTGCCCGTGGTCACAGAAGCAGGGCGGCCTGCGCAGGACCAGCCCACTCCATGAGCAGTTGGCTTCTGAGAAGCCCTCCATTCCTGTGCCCGCACGGTGGTGGAAGACACAGGCAGCTTTCCATTTCTGGGGTACCATCCGTAGGGCAATAGCAGCTCATTTCTTCTTACTCCCTCAGTGTTCCTGACCCTTTCCCCTGTCTGCTGTGATTTGCCACCCTACGATCAGCACACGGAACATGGCTCAGGCCAGCTCCCAAGCTCCTGCTCCGTGATAAGGGGAAAGGAAGACCGTGATACAGACGGGGCACCTACAGAGGGAGAGCTTCAGGAGCGGGTAGTAGAGGAGTAGGGGAGACCTCCAGAGAGCCTGGCTCTGGGTGATGGGGACAGGGAAGAGCCCTAACCCAGCCTGGGCCAGCCGAGCCTGCTCTCGGGCATCCCTGTGGCCTGGCCACACCTGCCTTAAAGGGGGCCAGGGCTGCAAAAGACATGCATCTGTGATGGGTTCTGTGTTCGGGAAGCATTCTGCCTACTCCTGCCCTTTGAGGAGAGCAAGGAGAGAGCAGAGGAGAACTTGAACAAAGCCGCGGGGCCCCTGCAGCCTGGCCCAGGGTGATGGGGCAGATTTGTGTCTGTGCCCCACGAGGCCAGGCAGTTGCTTATCCTCTTCCCCACCTTCACACTTCCTCTTTGGGCATTTACTCCACTAAGGTGGGCCCTAGAAGTGACTGTGCCCATGTGCACACTCCTGTGTTACATTGGGCTCAGAGGAGTGACATGTGTGGCTGTCTGTGCCTAGTGCTCACACTCTAGGTCACATGGGGTGGGTGTGGAGATGGGACACTGGGCTGCTAGGGACCCAAGGAGGCCTGGGCTCCAGAGCTGGGCTGGGGTGGGTCCTGAAAGGACTTGGGGTGCACTCGTACCTGGAAGCCTTTGCAGTGCCCTGACCTTCCCCTCACCAACCCCGCTACCCAAAGCTCAATTCCCAAGGCTTTGGAAGGAGCCGGAGTGAGGCTGCCTCTTTCTTCCCTGCCTTTGTGGTTCTTTCCAGATCTTTCTCCACGCACTGCTTATGAGGGTGAATGGCATCCTTACCGCTGGCCTCCCTCCCTGCCAACAGTCAGCACAGACCCACAGCGCGTGGGAGGGAGGGAAGTGCTGTGGACGGGCGGGACGCTATTTACACCAGGGCTCTGCAACACCGGCGGACTGCGAGAGCCCTGGGTGGGAGCACTGGCCACTTTAATCCAGTGTCTCTGGCAAAGGGCTCAGGCCTCAGGGCTTAGCGCTTCCTACGTGGTTCTCTGGTGCAGCAGGTTGCAAGGACCTCTGGGTGACAGACGGTTAAAGACAGCTAAAGCAACTCACACATGCAGTTGCACAGTAAAAATATATAGAGGCACCATAGGAAAGCAGTTGTTTCCAAACTCAGGTCACAGGATAACATCAGGAAGGTTCAGATGTGTCCATTATAGGTGTTTCATTCTTAAGTAGTGTGGAGAATGTGGTATTATTTCATGCTTTTCAGTTTGTGTGAAATGGTTCATCATACATTAATGAAAAAGTGGTGGGGAGCACGGACCTTACCATTAGACAGATCTGGGTTTTAAATTCACTCTCTGCCACTTACTTCCTGTGTGACGTGGGGCAAGGATTTAATCTCTCTGAGCTTATTAATCACCTGTGAGTTCTAATATTCCTTTCCCAAATCCCAACCTGAGTGAGACCAAACTGGCCCCCACAGCCTGACCAGAAATAATCAGAGCTCTCTGACAACCCCAGGTGGACTTTGTCCTCACAGGAACAGGCTGACTCCTGAGGCAGGGGCCCCAGAAGCCAGGGTTAGGGCAGAGAGCACCCCTAGCCCTCCCCTCCATTCCTCACAGGTTTCTGTAAGGGGAGGAAGGTGAAGGCTGGCTCAGGAGAAGGCAGTGTAGCCCCAGGCCAGATCTGTTTCCAGATACATCGGTGCCCCCTCAGCGGAAGGGTGAGCAGGGCTTGGGAGACACAGTTCTGAGAGGTCAATTTATAGGGAGCTCGTCCTCTCAGGATGTCAGCAAGGAAGCATGTGAGGGATGAGCCGGGTCTTCTCGGCTGGGGCTGGAGGGGACGGGACAGCCCCCATCATTGCCTGTGGGGCAGAGGCTCGCAGGAACAGAGGAGGTATCTGCATGGGTATTTGGATTCTGGTGCAACCCAGTCCTGTCCCAGGAGGACAGGAGGCCCTAGGACAGGGCATGTTTCTCCTGTCTGTCACACACACACACACACACACACACACACACACACACACACACACGCATGCATGCACACACACAACACCCAAGCTCACTCACATGTAATCAACACACTGGAGAAAGGAAAGAAATTCAGATGCTATTCTCATTGGAAAAACTTAAAACACAAAGTGGCTCATTTTTATTTCATCTCAGAAAACAAAACAAAACAAAACAAGCAGCCCCTTTAGAAGAACAGGCAGTTGGACAGGGGCTCTACTGGGCAGCTCTGAGCTATCCAGGCACAGGTCCATGGCCTGCTAGCCGCGACCTCACCCTGAGGCCTACCCCACATCCTGGCCCTGTTCCCGTTACAACTCCCTGTCATCCAGCCCAGATTTGTTGCCCCAAGAGATGGCCCTGGGACTAAGTGCATGGTAGCTCATGGCAGGTGGAGAGGGCTGCCTGAGACTTCCTGGGCGGACTCCTGGTGCCAGGTTAGCAGCAGGACTGACAACAGACCCAGCAGACAGGCAGGGGAGGATAATAAAATAAAAAGGATTTCCTCACACATATCTTCTCCTGGAAAAAAAATACTCAAATGCCATCCCTGGCCTGCAGCTCCCTGAGCCCTAGAAGGCTTGAGAGGGCAGTGTGTGCGGCAGGAGGTGTGGGCAGCCACTGCCCAGCCCGAGGCCAGCCCAGTCTGCTAAGCCACAGCTGCCCTGTAGACAAGGTGGGGCTTTTAGATGCTTCTGGAGGGGGGGACTGGGCCCTGATCAGCCAAGACGCTGCTGGGCTGTAGCCCTGGCCTAGCTGCAGGGCCTCAGAGCACAAACATCTGCTTCCGGAGACCCCAGATGTTTTTGCTGGGCCTCATGCTGCTCCAGCTTGGGGCTCCCTCATCTCAGTCCAGAGTGGGGACCAGATGCCCTGTGGGTCTCTTTTCTCCCAACATGACCAGTCCAACAAACCAGAAAGACAGAATTTCCTTCCTTTGGGAAGGGGCAAACTCTGTGGGCCATCAGGACACTCCTGCTCCACCGTGGGCCGGGGGGTCCTCCAGACTGGGGGACTCTGGACATGTTCCCTTGTGCTCATGGCTGAGGAGCTCCACGTCTGAGAGGCTGGCATCTCCGTGGGACCTTTGGGCGCTCCTTCCACTCACCAGCCCCAGGACATAGCCATTGGGCCGCTGCTCAGGACGGGGAGCGCTGCCGTTGGCCCATACCCCTGGGGGGTGGCCATTGAGCCGGAGGCTGACCTGCTCTCCCTCAGGGCTGTGAGCCGCCGAGGCCCTGGCACTGGTGCCTCCTGCCTTGAAGAGTTCCCTTCTCCTCAGGATGTGGCTGCGGATGATCTTGCGGAAGGTCTGGCGGAACTCACGGATGCGATAGGCATAGATGAGGGGGTTGACCACGGAATTGCCATGGGAGAGGATGATGGTCAGGTACATGAGCCAAGGTGGGGCATGGCCACACTCGGGGCAGAAGAAGGTGAAGCAGTTGATGATATGCAGGGGCAGCCAGCAGAGTGCGAAGAGCCCCACAATGATGGCCAGTGACTTGGCGGCATGGACCTCCTTCTGCAGTGTGGACCGAGTCCGTTCCCCCGGCAGAGGCTGGCTTTCCATTTGTTTCAGCTGTCGCCGGGCTGCCAGGAAGATCCTCAGGTAGATGCCCAGCATGAGCAGCAAGGGCACCAGCACAAAAGCGAAGAAGTTGTAGTATACCATGTAGTTCATGGGCACCACATCTTCGAAGAGACAGGTCACCTGGCCCTCGTCGCAGCTCTCTGAGTGGTTCTTGTCCCCCTTTGGCTGACTGCAGTTGTTCCAGCCTAGCATGGGCGTCAGGCCGATGGCAAATGACAGCACCCAGCAGATTGCAATGATGCCCTTGGCCCTCGTGCAGGTCACCAAGCCATTGTACCTGGGGACAGGAGACCAGTATCAGAGGCCTGAGAAACCAGGGCTAGTCAGAGCAGAATCAAGAAACCCAGAGCTGCTGGGAGAGGTGGAACCTTCCACTGTGGAAAGCTGATACAGGAGGATCACAAAGTCAAGCCCAACCTGGGCAACTTGGCAAGGCCCAATCTCAAAAAATATTCTTTAAAAAAATGTTAAGGGGTTAAGGATTTACTTCAGTGTGAAGACCCTGTGTTCAATTCCCGGTACTGGAAAGAAACACAGAAAAACGAAAAAATACAATGGAAAAGAAAAGAAAAAGAAAAAGAAATAAGGGAAGGAAAGGAGAGAGGGAAAGAAGGAAGGAGGCAGGTGAGAAGGAAGAGAAAGAAAAAGAAAGACCAGAGCTGCACCCCACTTGGTCCTCCATTCATTGGCTATAAAGTCTTAAAACAGTCGCTTCCTGTGTCCAGGCCTTGACATCCTCTTCTGTTAAGTGGGTCTTGCCTTTCCCACAGGCTGCTGGGAGGAAACAGGAAGACAGGCGCCCCTGAAGGAAACCACTGTACCAGGGTTCGGATGACTGTTAGTCTTAGGGATAGTCCTGAGCCTTAATTTGAATTTGGATTGAGGGAAATGATAAGTGATTTGGAGGAGGGAGGAGAAGAACCACTTCGTAATGGGTGATCTTGATTGAGAGGACAGCATATTTCCCTTCAGAGCAGGGACAGGGCCACAGCAGGGCACACACCTTAGCTGGGGCAGAACCAGCCAGCTCAGACCTGTGACGATCTGGGCCTTTTCTTCTCCGTGCCTTTTCCTCCCCATTTGACAGAGGTGCCCAGAGACCCCCTGGTAGACGCTGCCGGGGTAAAGAAGAGTGGAGGTCCCACGTCAAATGAGATGCCAGCTCCCTTGCAAACCCACCCACAGTGTTCTAGAAAGAAATGAGATAGTTATGTCTTGACATTTATATGTCAACTTAATATTCAAGAGGAGGGCTGGGCATACAGCTCAGTGGCACAGCTCCTGCCTGGCAAGTGCAAGGTCATGGGTTTGATTTCCGGTACCAAAAAAAAAGGAAAAAAATTATGATCTTAATATTCAAGAGGAAACACCTGGATGACACACTGGGGTCTGAATCTGTCTAAACACACTCAGTATTCCTGGGCCAGATGACAATCCAAGCCTACTGATTCCCAGGCTCAGACATGGGGTGTGGCTTGGTCCACTGGCCAGAAAGCATAATGATGTCCTATGGAAAAGGTGGCATTGCTTTTGTGACAGAATGGGCTCTCAAAAAATAAAGCCTTGCCAGACAGGGTGACACATGCCTGTAATCCCAGCACTTAGGAGGCTGAGGCAGAGGATCACTGTATTGCAAGTTTGAGACCAGCCTGGGTAACATAGTTTAAGACCAGTCTGAACTACCTAGCAACACCTTGTCTCTAAAAAAACAAACAAAAAAGGGAATGTTTCCAAGAAAGGCAACTTCCGAAGGATGACTTTCTGTTTAAATTTTGGTTCTCCCCTCTGCCCGGCAGGAATTACCCATTTGTCCTTCAAGTTCAAGGCAGATACCTTCCCAGCAAAGTTTCCAGCCTCCTGCTGAGAGCCCTGGGGAAGGGACATTCATCTCTGATTGCCAGCTTGAGACAGGGACATGCAATAGGTATTAAGAATAGTGAAATCTACTTAATTCCAGCACTAAAAACATCCACAGACAGAGATAACCCATGGGGCAAACACATATACATCCCTGTGGATGATCAATATTTTAGGCAGGCTGATGGGTGTTTATCTTGTCTTTGCTGCCATTCAAAATATGAGCCTAGAGTTAGAGGAGATTCCTGGCACACAAGAAGTCCTGGGTTCCATCCCCAACATCACACACACAGAGAGAGAGAGACAGAGAGACAGAGAGACAGAGAGAGACAGAGAGCACTCCAGCATCACCAGATATCAAGGGGGACTAGAAAGCTGATTTTCTGGCTAACTTTCTAAAAGTTTATTTTGTCAATCTATTCAAATGAACAAATGTCCCAGTGGCTTCTGACCTCTTATCTGCTCCAATCCCCTTATCTTACAGGTGAGTAAACTGAAGCCCAAGTTGAGGAATGAACTTGCTAGAACATTTAGGGGCCCAGACAGAACTCAGGCTAAGGCAAATCTTTCAGTTCTGATTCTCTCATTCCTTTCTTTCTTTCATTTTTTTTTTTCCAGTGCTGGGGCTCAAATCCTAAGCCTTGCCAGGCAAGGGCTACACCCACCAAGCTACATCCTTAAGTGTTATCAATTTGGAAACCAAGCAGGTCAGTTCTCAGGAGTTCCATACGTCCACTCGGCCAGGGTTTGGTTACCTCAACAGGGCCTCTGCAGGAGAAGTCATGGACTTGCCTGTTTCTGCCAGCAAGAGACCCAGCACTGCCCTGTCTCCTGTTTTAGAGACTTAAACGTAAAGTCACAGACTTCCCCGCCCTTTGTCTAACACTAACATAACATTCACTCTGTACACGGCACTGTTCTTAGTACCCTACCATCTACTTTATATAAGCCCCACTGCACAGGAGCCTCCGTTACTGTTGGCATCTTTCCTGGGCAAAGCATATCTCTATCTTGTTCTAGTCCTGGCATATTCCTGTAAATATGGAACTTAGGTCAGTTCGTCTCGCTGACCCTCAGTCTCTTCGTTTGTAAAATGGAACTAAGCATCCTGGACCTGTGAGTTCTGCTCCACGAGGCAGAATGCTGAAATTCTGTGGAATTCGCTGACTTGGGGTGAGTGAGAATTCCAGCTGAGGTGTTCATAGGAGAAATGGACTGCTGATCAGTGATAGCTTCCCGCTTGAGTTGACCCAGCTGACCCAGTGGATGGTGCGGGGTCCCCGGACCCTGTGGAGAACACGCTGTTCTCCCGCAGCACATCCTTCTCGCCTGCACTTCCAGGCAGTTATGCAGGGGGGGCTCCTGGAGAAGAGAGGGTGCTTAATAGGTGATCAATGAACTCAGGAGCTGGGGGAGTCACCAGGCCTGGGCCTGGGCCTGGAAGGTTCTGTGGAGAACATAGCATGGAAATCCCTGGTCTGTCCCGTTGTCTACTCTTATAGACAAGGGACTCCCGGAGGGGAAGTTTTTCGCTACATTCTCAGAAGAAAGCCGATTTTGGAGACAGAAACAAAATATACAATAAGTAGCACTTGGGCACAGGCTAAGAAAGTCCAGGGCAGGTTCCCCCACTGCCTTCTGGAAAGGGCACTGCAGGGAGGAGGGAGCCCAGGGACAACTTCTCACTATATGTCTTTGGGGTTTTTCCTAAAGTTTGAGCACATGCAAATAATAGATATCAAATAGGGCTGCGAGTGAACTAGAGCGCTTGTCTAACCTGCAAGGTCAGCAAGCAGGCAAACGCCAGGACACTGAAATAGATCAATTTTGTTATTCAAAACAAAGCCCTTTAAGCTGAGAGTCTCGCAACGAGGCGTTCAGGGGCCTGCACGAGCATCAAGGCCCAAAGTAAATCACAGCCAGACCATGGCATGGCCCAGCCATGTCCCCTGGGCTATGTCTGTGAATAACAAGGTTACACGCAGCCTTCTGACCCTCAGATATAGACATCCTTGCTGCAAGGGCCGCCGAAGCCACCCAGCACGACATTTGGCCATTCCAGGGAGCCTGGGAGTGTCAGAGGACGTGAGAGCCAGAGCAGCTGCCAGCCCATTTCAGGGTGCCATCTGCATTCCAGTGTCCCCCAAGCTGCATGCTGCCCTTCCCTGAGGACCCCAGTCACCCACATGGGGGCCTCACTCTACAGTCCAAACATAACCCCAGTCCACACGGGGGTTATGAGTATTTGCATCACTGAGGAGAAAGAGGCTTTCCTCAGTTATCCCAAGGGGTCAGTGATCCTGGAACTGAAGAGCCTCGGATGATGGGGAAACCCAGACTCCTTCCCCAGACAGGGACAGGCCTGAGTCAGCCTCACACACTCCCTGCCCACACGGCTCCTCTCCTCTGTCTCTCAACCATCAGGTCATCCTGCCCAACCCACAGGCCACATGTGAATCCCTCCTCAGGGCCTCTCCCCAAGCTTTGCCCTCCTCCTGACACACCTGCCCCCGCACACGTGGCCTCGAGAGTTCACACATCCTGTAACACTTCCTCCATGGGGCCTGCCCTCCCAGTCCTGCCTCTTTTATTTTATTGATTTATTTGTTTTTATATACTGGGAATGGAACCCAGGGCCTTGCAACTCAAGGCAAGTACTGAGCTATGACCTCAGGCCACTTGGAAACTCTGGTCATAAGGAGGCATTTTTTCTGTTTTTATAGTGCTGAGGCTTGAACTCACGGCTTTACCTCTGCCAAGCATCTTGCATTGCCACTGGGCTGCCTCCCTAACCTTTCTCTTTAAGAAGCCAGAGTGAGTCCCTATGATAGGACTTCCTCAGCAATGCCACCACCTAGCATTTGGGCTTGTTCCTCAGGACTCAGAGAACCCGCCAGGGGCCAGCAGGAGAGACAGGAGAGAGTGGCGAGAGGTCCCTATAAAGGGAAGGCCACATCCCCCACCCAGAGTTTTTGTCAGGACATTAACAGTTGCACATCTTTCTCTGACCTGGCTTCTTTCTCACCCACCAGGCCCTGCCCTAACCTAACATGCGATCCCTTTGTTTAGGAGAAAGGAAATAGCTTGTTTTGAAGCTGATTTTGTTTTTCCTTTTTTGAGACAGGCTTTCACCATGTAGTTCAGGCTGGTCTTGAACTCTGTGTAGCCCAGGCTGGCCTCAGATTCATGGCAATCCCCAGTCCTCAGCCCCTCGAGTGCTGGGACTACAGGCCTACACTACCACAACCAACCTTGAAGTTGAATTCTAAAGAAAAAAAATAAGTTACGAATGCGCTAGGCCTTCGGAGACTAGGCCTCAGAGTAGCCCTGTGGACCTTCTTTAGTGGAAGAGCAGATCCTGGGGCTGGGCAGGAGCTGAATTCCCAGTTGTGCTGGGGACAAAGGAAGAAGGGGGACTCCAAACCAGGCAGCATCTCCAGTGGGGAGCCATGAATGCCTGGCTCTCATTGGCCTCCATTCAGTTCTCTGAAGGCTCAGCTTGGGCTCAGGAGCCTCCATACAGATGCCTCTCCATGCCCAGTAGCCAGGCGCTCCTAGGATTCAGAAACTGAAGGAACCTGAGGGCCTGGGAACAGTGCAAAGGGCTCTAGAGTCCACCCATGTCAGAAGAGGGATGTGTGTCCTTCCCTGACTCTGGCCTCCTCATGAGTAACGTGAGGGTCGTAGCACCCACACCAGCCTCAATGCTGGGCGGAAAGGATTAAGAGAGATGCAGGACTGAAATCCTTAGGCGACTGTAACACCTTCTGCCTGGAGGGCAGGAGGAGCATCAAAGCATCCCCACCGAGGAGACCAGCCTGAGCCTTCCAAAGCCCAACCCAGCAGAGCTCAAATGGCCCAAGGTCCAGGTGAAACCTGGCCAGCTTTGTGAGGTCCTGATAGCCTGGAATACAGACTGGATTTGGGGCAGAGCCGTGGCTCCAAATCTTCAGCAACTAAAGAAAGAGCAGAAAGCCAGATGTGGTGGTGCACACCTGTAGCACTTTGGGTGGCCAAGGCAGGAGGATCTTTGTGAGTTCAAGCTCAGCCTGGGCAACTTAGGGACTTAGTGTGGCCATCTCAAAAGGGGGAGTACGGTGGGGAATGTAGCCCAGAGGGAGCCCCTGGTCTAATCCCCAGTACTTAAAAAGAAAAAAAAAGCTGAACCCCCACTTGCCTAGTCTCATCACTCCCATCCCCTCCATAGACCCTCAAAACCTCTGTATTCCCAGAGACAGAAGGACTTATCCCCTGCTCTGGATGGGGAAATGGGCTCCAGGAAGGGCAGCTGACTTCCCACAGCCACACAGCGTATTCTGTTGATTCTCAGAAAACAGATGAGGAAGGAGAGAGAGAGACCTGTGGGAAAAACAGAGCTGAGGTCTTTAATTTGAGAGCAGCTGCCCTGACCTGGCCCCTGAATGTTGTTGCCCTTTGAATCGGAGAAGAAAGTGAAAGTTAGACTGCTGATTTCCCTCAGGCCTGGCCTCTGGCCCAGCTGGTATCTACAGACCACCACCCCTTCCCTGTGCCTCCGTGCCCTCAGCTGTCACTGGATGAACGGGGATTCCATGGCACACATGGGAGCAAGAAGATGGGGTCTGTGAGGTCCCAGGCCATCTCCAACACTGTGCCCTAAGTCAGACAACTCCAATTCAGCCCCTTCTAGGACCGGCCAGAGTCCTTTTTTCAAGGACCAGGTTCTGCCTCTTCCGAGCAGCCTGATGCAGGTGCCCGCGTCCCTCTGAGGGCTCAGGCGATGGCCAAGCCTACCGAGTGCAGCTTCTGAGGGGCTGGGCTGCCTATGATCTCCCTAGAGTGCCATCAGAGGGGGGGCAGCTGGGTTTTATCTCAGGTCTCGTCCCAGCTCTGCCATCAACTCCTTGTGTGGCCCTGAGAGAGCTGGTTGCATCCTCGGAGCCTCATTTTTCCATTCAGAAGATGAGAGGAAGGAAGTGACCTCTGAAGCCTCGGGTTTGACACTCTGAATTTCCATTTGCTCACTGAACTTGGTCCTCCTCCCTCCCGGGGCGCACTCAGTCCACAGCGGGGATGCTGGGGCTTCCTCCTTAGGGGGGCACCTCCTCTATTTGGGAGAATTCAACATGGGGACTGCACCCTTTTTCGGGCCTGTAGCCACTGTGGCTGTGGGACCCAGCTCTGTGGAGGAGATCGAGGAGGTGGAACAAGAAGCTCCAGGGCCCCCAAGGGGAGGGATACACTTTCTAGCTCATCTATGGCCTGGGTAGGTGGAGGCCACACCAAGGAAACTCAGCCTCCTGGAATGTCTTCATTTACACAATTCTTGGCTGAAGTCACTTACAAAAGATGCACTGTAAAATCCCCCTCTCACAACCAGCCCAGCACCGGCTGAGTCTTTGGTGCCCTGAGAAGCAACATAATTTGCATGTGAGTCCAAGTGACTCACTGTGGCGTTTGGCCAAGTCACTTCCCCTCTCAGAGTCATTCTCCTAACGTTCATGCTGAGGCCAGCTCAGAGAAGCAGGAGAAAGGGAGGCAGGAGATGGGCTCCTAGCTGAGGTCCCTGGTTCCCTGTTCCCACCCCACTAGCACCTCATTGATAATTTTGCTCTGATGGGTAAAGAACAGCCCAGGTGCACCCACCCCAAGCAGCCTGGGGGAAGTCGGGAGGCCAGGCACTCAGGGCCTGTGGGGTCAGCCAGACACACACGACGGCTGCCCACCTGCCAGCCCTGGGAAGCCCTAGCCTGAGGTCCAGGGCCCCATCCTCAGCCCCACGTGTTGACACCACAGACCAGACTGCGGTCCCCGCAGGCCTCTGCCCAAGCGTAAGCCCCAGCCCCTGGCTCACCGCAGGGGGATCCGGATGGCGATGTAGCGGTCAATGGCGATGGCCAGGAGGCTGAAGATGGAACTCTGTGTGAGGACCAGGACGAAGCAGGCGAAGAAGAGGCAGCCATGGCAGGCGGCACAGAAGCCGGTACTGATGGTGATAGCGAAGGGGATGGCGAGCACACCCACTGCGATGTCGGCCGCCGCCAGCGACACCACGAAGTAGTTGGTGACGTTCTGCAGGTTGCTGTTGATCCACACGGCCCAGCACACCAGCACGTTGCCCAGAATGGCCAGCACGGCAATGACCAGCTCCACTGTGATGTACACCGAGGAGCTCATGGCAGGGGCGGCCGCAGACGGGCAGGCTCAGTGGGGGCGAGGGCTGGGCCAGCTCACGGTCCATAGCTGCAGCCCAGCCTTCCCCGCCCCGAGGCAGAGGGGCCCAGGCCCAGAGCCCCTTCCTCACAGGAGCCAGGGGCGTCCCTGTGGGGGCTCTCCAAAGGCTTCCTCACAGGCGAGTCTGCTGAAACCAGGCTCTCTCCAGGGTTTCCTGTGTCTATGTCATGGCTCAGCTCGGCTTCAGGGTTCTCAGGGCACCTGGAAAAGGAGAGCTCTCGTGAGCAGCTGGAATTATTCTGGTCCTAAAGCCCTACTCCTTCAGAGCCTATGCCTCCTGTAGGCCAGAGTCCATCCTGAGGGGGACCCCTGCCTCCCCCATTGCCGGCCTGGTCTGCTACAGTCACGGTCAGAAGGCAGGGGAGTTGGCATTTTGCTCCTACTGTGGAGGAGGACACAGGCCCAGAGAGGCCACTAGGCAAGCTGCTTCCCTTGGTCCCATGGAGTCCCTGTGAAGACCCTCATGCAAACCCGCCCAGGAAAGGAGCCCTTCTCTCAGGGTCATGCAGCGTACGTGCAGGAGGGACTGCAGATAGGGCCGTGGCTGCACTCCTCCTGGGACTCTGGCTCACCCCTCTGCACTAGACAAGGCTCCCGCATTTCACCCACAGCAGGTCTTGAGGTTACAGCCCTCCCAGCCTGCACTTGGGGCAGTTTTTTTTTCTTTCTTTCTTCTTTCCCCCGTAGAAAAATCAAGAATCTGTCAATGTTAAGCCCCTCATGTTAGCCCACCAGGGTCAGCATCTCAAGCCTTCTGTGGCAGCCTAGCCAATCTCCTGCCCTGGTTGCCAGCGCCATGAGCCCTCTTCCCTCCCAGAAAGTCCCTTCCCTAAAGAGTTCTTCCAATCCCACTAATTTTTCTCTTACTAGGCTAGCTTTTCAGTCCACCTCCACCTGTTCCATCCCCAGCAAACTCTCTGGGGAATTACCAGCCGTCCCAGTTAGGGAAGGGCCAGCCACACCTGGAGCTCAGGTGGCTAGAGGGATTTGGGGAGCAATCTGGTCCTGTCCTCCATTCCTGGCAGGTAAACCACTCACCCTCACAGGCAGCAGAGCAGGCACAAACCTGAGCGTGCTGCCTCCTGGTGCTCCAGCTGCACGTCTGGGAAGGGGAGGCACTGTAGCTGCTTCCCTCTCTGAGGGAGCTGCCACCCTCTCTCCTCCTACGCCCCTCCCCCAGCTGCTCCTCTGCCTTAATGACACAGGGAAGGAATGACTGAAGTCAGAAAAGCAGGTGCCCAGCCAGGACCTGCTGGGGACTGTAGGCAAGAATGGTTTCCCCTTCTGGGTCCCCGTTTCCCCATTTATGCTGTGAGGCATTTGGACCCCACTTGACCTATGGGGGCATTTTAGCTCTCATCCATGAGTCTATAAGAAGTGAATAACTGGGGCTGGGGGTTTAGCTCAGCGGCATAAGTGCCTGCCTTGAAAGCAGGCAGTCATGAGTTCAATCCCCGGTACCGATAAAAAGGAAAAAGACAAAAAAAAAAAAAAAAAAGACGTGAATAACAAATCTGTAAAGGATCTCCCGGAATTAAATGTCATAAAAAGAGGAATAGACACCAAGGAAAGTCTTGGTTTTTCCAGCAGGCCCAAGCTCAGCCCAAATGCTAGTTGTTTTTCCCTGAGCTTGTGAAACCATCCTTACCCACTAAAGGGCCTCTCCATGAGAGCTAAGAGGACCCTAAACTCTCATGGGGCACCAGGAGTACATTAGCGGCAGCCACTGCCTACCCGGAGACAAAGGGCTACAGGGTCGCATCCTCTCTGTCTTCTCTGGGATGTGAGGGGCTGAATGGGACTATGGACCCTGGTAGAAGGTCACCCCGGGTCTCTGGCCTCTTTGAAGGGCCGAGGTCCCCCATTATACACTCACTCCAAATTGGCCAGGAGCTAACAGAGGGCTGAATTAAACCCCGAGTTCCTTCTGCCTGCAGTGCTGTCACCGCCTCAGGCTGGAGCCACATCTCTGGATGGGGGCTCCAGCCCCCAAGAGACCTTTTTACCCCACTAGGAGGCTTGAAGTGAATTATCGGGCACAGAAGGACCAAGGAGGAGGAAAGAGGGGAGGCCAAAGCACAGTAGAAACTGGAGTCACCTGCAGCAGTTGGAGAGGGCCGAATGTTATTGAGTCCTGGCTCTGCACAGGGCATTTGCCAACAGCTGCTTACAAAGTGTGTCCCTGGCAGCCAGAACAGACTGAGTCTCTGGGCCTCACTCCCAGCCACATGTCCTTCTGTCCTCGGGGCCTGTGGTCCAGAGCAGCATTCGACAGGGGTCTATCCGACCTAGGCTCAATAGGTACTGGTGGAGCTGGGGCTCACCTTGGACCTGTTTCCCACCCAGGTCCTGGCCTATGGCTCAGCGCCGATTCCCACACTCGCAGCCGTAGCAACAGGCCACTGTCCATTTAGGCCCAATGAGTCCCTGAGGAATTACTGCTCTTCAGGGATCCTGCCTCCCACCACTGCTGCCTGCTGGGGGAAGAAGACAACCATCTCGTGTCAGGCCTTCTCTAGGGGAATCTGCATCAAAGACACCACAGCCAATCTGACCACCCAGGCTACAAAGCTGGCATGGCGGACAACAACGGACAAGGCATGGACACTTCCCCTAGGCCAGACAGCGCGCCCCAGCCCCACCACCCAAGTCCCTGGTGCCAGGTCACACCACCAGTGCCTGCCCCACAGACTGCATGGACTCCAGAGCAGCTAGGATGCCCAGCTTAGAAGGGGCCTTGGTGGGGCCTCACCCAGCCTTTGTTTGGTGAGACACTCTTGGATACCTGCCTGAGAATGTCTACCACCTTCCGTGTTAGATCCCGTGCAAAGAGCACAGGCTACTGATACCTTTAACTCCACTGAAACCACATTCTCCTTGTCCCGAGTCTCACTGGGTGATCTTGACCCTCCTTCCCAGGCCAGCTTTGCATGGGACTAAAAACACACATCTGTCTCCTGCCAGCAGAGCCCGCCCAACCCTTCTTCCCACATGGCCTGCTCCCCCTCTGCCCCTTCCCTCGACATTCCTGCAGGACCTCCTGGCTGCTGCAAGCACATCATGGGGGAGCTCCTTTGCTCCCCCAGGCCACCTTGGCATCTTCTGATCCGGAATCCACTGTCAGCTGCGCCTTCCCCAGCCAGGAGCCCAGCAGATCGCTGGTGCCAGAGGCAGGACAAAGAAAGTCAGAGTGGGGAGTTGGGAGAACTGTGTGCTCCTGGAGATCTATGGGGGTTACCCTGCTGTAGTCTGCCAAATAAGCCCAGGGTTGGCTGGGGGCACCTTGAATTATAATCTTTTCCTGGGTATAAGTGCTCCCACTAGGTCCAATTTCAGACTAGTGCCTCACCAACCAGAACTGGGGAATGATATGGCTGGCTAGCCGGTGCCAGCCACCACTGAGCTACCAAATCTTATGCTCTCTTGGAGGCCACCTGTCTGAATGCCGGACACTACACTGGTTCCTCTTAGAGAACCCCTGCAGCCTGTCTAGGAGCTCAGGACATGACAGATATCTATGTTCTCGCTGGCCCCATGAATCCTATTTTATAGGCAAGGAATCTAAGGCCTCAAAAGGCAAAATGACCTCTCCTCCTTACCAGGAACATTAAAGGGTGGTGGAAAATGCCGGGGTGCACAGCCATAGGGGACTTCCGGGGCCTCCTCCTAGCTTTCCTCCTTTTGGAAGCCTTCCAGAGCCACAGGAAGGTTGGCAGGAGAAGTAGGGGGTCAGGGTCAGGATCTGGCAATTTCCTATTCTTCTAGCTTGGCTCTGCCTATCTAATTAATCCTGGAGTCATCTGTTGCTAGCCAGGAGGGAAAATTAAATATTAATAATGTTGTATTTTCTCGTGATTTCTTGTTGGGATGGGACTGTCCCATGTAAAATACAGACACAGGCTGTGGAACACACATGGTAAGCCTTGGAAAAGCAGCCCCATAGGACTCCCAGCATTTGGACTCAAAATTTCCACCTCTTCCAGCCTTCCTGCCCACCTCACCTGGTCTGGTAAGTTTAATTCAAACACCTTTTAATAAAGCCTATGCATCCGGCTCACCTCTCCCAGCTCTTTGTACCTCAGACTAGCAAGGCTCTCTGTACACATGCCCAGATGGTGGTGATACCCCCTAGAGCCTGCTGGCCAGAGGTGTGCCCGGTGTACCTGCTCTTGGATATAGCCAAGGTCGAGGAGTGGAGCATAGCCCAGAGCCTCTGCCTACTGCAGCCACCCTGGGCTCCAGAATCCCAGCCTTAGAGTCCTCTCACCTGTTACCTAATCACCTGGAATGCCAGGGGACATCCCAAGTGCTGGACCACAGGACCCTCTGTGCCACCTGCTGCTATCCCTTTGGGTCCTGAGCCTACAGCCACGAGCCCTGAAGGCAGAAAGAGTCCGGGAAACTCCTGAGTGGTGGCTGCTGCTATGGGGATGTGGGTATCTTCAGGCCACTCCCTGAACCCATGATTTCAGCTCCCACTTCCGATGAGCTGGAAATCCCAACTTCAAAACAAATCCTCAAATAAGACTAAGGAAGATAAGCAGCAGTACCAAAACCAGGGAGACTGGTTCACTGAGGAACACGAGAAGGCCATGGAGTAACAAAATACTGATTTTTAAAGACATCGTGGATCCTTAAGGTAATGAAGAAATACCATCTATGAACAAGAATAAGAATTCAGAACCTCACTGGGAGGAACAAAAGCGGGTAAAGATGAATAGGAAATAAACTTCTGGGTATGAAAAACCCAAGACTGAAATAAAGAACATAGCAGATGTGGTAGGCTTCAGGCAGCTGAAGGGAGACCTGGGGGCATGAAAGGGGACCGAGGATTCTCTCAGAGACTTCCTGGAGACAGTCACTGTGGAAAAGCAGACCACATGGAAGGGAGGTTAAAAAACACTAACATGTCTCTCAGGAGCTCTGTAAAAGCACGAACGGGCACCGAGCAAAGAATAATATCAGATGGGCAGGGTAGCACCTGCCCCCAAACCACAAGCAGTGACTGGGCACCAGCCTCCCGGAACCACCAGGCCCCAGCACCCACAGAGCCCCGCCTGCCAGCATCCGTCAGCTCACAACAGGTGCCTTCCTGGAGCTCAGCGACCACTGAGCTTCAGCCCCTTGCCCTCCCCGTCACCCTGGGCTCACAGACCCGCTTCCGATGCCTGGTGCTGGCTACTGCCCAGGTACTCAGGAAGGCGCCCTGTGTGCCCCTCCTCCACCGCCTTCGGGTATGTGGCTGCTGCTTTCTGCCCCTGGGGACAGGATGTGGGCAGAAACGGAGAACCAACTCCCTGCAGCTGGAGGCTGAGGTACTGGGCCTGCCTCAAAGCAGCCTCCATACCACCAGCCACTGGCCAGCCCTGGGGTGCCCCCAGGGCTACCAGGCTTGTCACAGCACCCTTCTCCAACAGCCCCTGCCATCCTCGTATGTCTGGTCAGACGCCAGAGAGGGTGTAGGTCCCCAGTCCTCCTCATCAGAGGTGGCCACTCAGCCCATCACCAGCTGCTTCTCTAGACAAACTTCCTTCAAGGGTGCCCCGCTTTACAGAGGTGCTGGGAGCCACCCTGAGGTGAAGGTAGCTGGGATAGGATCATCATCCAACTCCCTCAGGTCCGCACACAAGGCTTCCCCTCTGCTGTGGCTCCTCACGTGTGGACGGCCTGTGGTGAGACAGCGTCACATGAAAGACCCAGCACCTGCACCTCCCCCAGATGGTGGCTGATAGGTATTGTTACGCTGCCTGAAGCAGGGCGGGGAGGTCATGAGCATATAGACCCCAGAGGGCCCAGGACAGGACTCTAGCAGGAGGCTGGGCTATTGAAGGGGCATTGCTAAGTACACTGAGGTGGCAGGATGTGGGTCCCTAGGACATAGGTGTGATGATGGAGTCCGAAAGAAAAACACAGGGGGGACTGGACCAACCCCAGCATGACCCATCTTAGCACTGCCTCTGGGCCCTCTGCTCTACCCCAGCCAAGCTCACTGCTTGCAGAGGCCATCATGAGGCAGAAGCAAAGCCCAGGAAAACCCTCTCTCTGGCCTCTCCTCCAGGAGACAGCTGCAGCCAAAGACCCAGGCTACTGGAACAGCAACATCCATATGGGCAGGCGCCATCGAAGGGCAGCACCAGACCCTGTGCAGCAACTTCCAAAACAGGCCTGACCTCCAGGAGTGGATGTGGACCCACAAGGAGGCCTCTCTGAGCTGGACAAAAAGGTGAAAGAAAAGGAATGGGAGCCACTCTACA